CTCCCCATGTGAAATAAACAACCAAGTCAGCTTCACTCCAATGACATCAGTCTTCATAAAACTTTGTTTCAGGACAAAAACACAAAAATGGTCCATGCAGACCAAGCCTCACTCTAATATGCTTCACCTAAAATGACTTCATCATAAATAATCTTGTCAGGAATAAGGGGGTCATTGTTGCAGAAGTGGTAAGTTTACATTTTTTAAAAAGTCAAATGACAAACAGTTTCTTAATCATTTTATTATACAAGCTATTTCCCACATTTGCCAATATAAACATTTGGCTACAAATTCAGATAATTGAATGATTTCATTTAAACATGCTTACTATACAACACTGAATTATCAGAGTGTCTTACCAATCGATTTATTTTAATTCATTAAAATTAATCATTCCTCAACTCTGACAATCAAGCTAGTCACATTCATCTCTGACAACAGGGTTTATGGTATCATTTTTTCTCCATGACTGTATGACTTATATGACAATTTCACATTCTCTTCATGGTTGGTTAAAAATAATATCTCACATTTCAAATAGTGCGATGTCAGAAAAGGTGTAAAATGACAAGCAAGACAATTACATTTTACATTGTCAAAAATAAAAACAGATAAACATTAATCAAATATAAATGATAAGTCACATATATCATATGATATTCATTATAAAACTAGAGAATATAATTTAAGTATTTACAATTGCTACAGTTCAACAATTCATGGAACATGTATCTGTGTTCCATTTGTGCCCACTTCTGGTAGCTCTGGGGTAATGGAATTTGTATGGCACAGCTTGCAGGGATCTTTGAAGGGAACATTATTTTGTATTATTCAAAGGTCTGTGGTATAGGGTAAAAAAAAAACAAAAACAAAAAACACGGCAACAGCACAAGATAGAATGATTTGTATTTTGTACTAAATCTTAGTATAATGATCAGCACCACTCCAGGTAACAACAAATCTTGCTGGCAAAGAAAACAAGAGCAAAAGCAAATTTGTTAATTGCAGGCACCAATCTGGTCTCTAGTTTTATTTACCCATAGAAGGTGTCCTTGCTACAATTCTCATAAATCACCCACATTTTATTAGGTTGATGTGAGAATGGCTTAAAAAAAATTTCAACATAACTTTATTGTTGTTAAATGGGAAGGGATTCTAGTGCCTATTTTCAGCAGTACCTCTAAATGTATTTGTATTTTGATATTTGGGCACTACTGTACAGGGTTTATGTAGATTCCATTCACATTAGGCTAAGCTCTTTTGCTATGTGCTACAATACCTTATTTGAAAACTGTCTTTAAACATTTTAACCTCTGAGTAACAGATTGTTGTTGAAAAAAAATACTTGCAACAACAACTGAATGTAATAGTCTATGTTGTGAAACTCTTCAGATCTCCTGCCTGTTACTAACAGTGCTATGTTTATGTTTGCCCCACTGAGTTTTCAGGGCAGGCTTTCAATGGAGGAGCAGAACAAAAGCTAAGTTATGGGTTAGTAGCATTTCAACTTATAAGAGATATTCAATCAGGCCACAAACTGGGCAGTTCCTGCACTTTATAAAACATAGAAAATGTTATTTATTGCTTTGCATAGAAGTACAAAATATGCAATTGTGCATTGTAACTAGCACATTTTAGAAAAAAAAAGCATGGACTTCAAAAAGATACTCAGTGTGCAGTAATCAGTTTGTTGGTTATGGTACCAATAAACTGGTGCCAGGCATTTCTTGGTCAGAGGTGTTTGAAGGCTAGAATATTTAAAAATGGAAAATCTCCCCAAACCCCCTGATCTCTAACCTTAATATGACCCTTTCACTGGACCTAACTATTACTCTTCCATTCACCTGAGCCATAACATGTACCATACACTTTAGGTTAACCCTTAAGTCTTAAAGAAGAAATTCAGTCCCCGTTTTTTTCTGCTCCTCCATGTGCACATAGACAGTTTAGAATGTCTTATGCATGTGCAGATGTGCCAAAAGCCTCTGCCAGGTATCTGGAATCTGCAGAGACCTGCAGCAAATCTGCTCACACAATGGGATTCCACACATGTGCACACAATGCTAGCATCAGGACCTTGATACTTGCAGCCTTTCCGCATGTGCGCAGATGTGCTGCATTTCTCTGATGGGTATATCTACGCATGCATAGAATCTCATTTGCCTTAGTAACACTGCTTCTTGGGATGTGTGACATGGACATCCCAGAAGGCAACGGGTAACACTATGTCTTTTTTGCCTAGCACTAAAAGGTCAGAAACCTTTTAAAACAAAAATTATGTAATTGTGGGAGAAGGGAAAAGCCAGGTGGAATTTCATAGTTTTTTTTGGGGTGAAGGTCTGCGTTAATTTATCCTTCCTAACAATTAACCCATTTCTGAAATATATTACTTATCATCAACCTAAATTTAATCTTTACCTTGCCTTAAAATAGAGAGATCAGTGTGAATATTTCATAAACCTTCAAGGTCTAAGGTTAACTGCAAAGGAATACACCTCAAGGCTTGTCCATTTGATGTTTGTTAGACTCAACATTGTCCTACTAGCCTTCTGCCAGTTTAAAATTTAAATCAATATTGCTCCAATTGCTTTAGCACTTGTAACTTAACTCATAAAATGCCCTAATGTTTCCAGTTAGATATGTGTGGCTATCAGTAGAACTAACTTGGTCTATTGCTGATTCAACCCTGCTCAGTTTAAATATAGTATATCAGGTATAATACACCTTTCCTTTGCAGACTGAATAAGGGCAGTGAGATACCAATTTTTTCACCAAGATAATACATCACACTTTTAAACACATAAAAAAACAAGGCAATATAATAGCTTATAGTTGCATTGTACAGTGCAAGTTCTTCAGTTTAACTATTTAAAGCATATCAAAGCTAAAGCTGATCTTGTAAGTTTTGGATAAAGTCAGGAATTGGTAAGATCCCTGTCATGTATTTTCCCTTTTAAACAGGTGTAATGAAAAAAATTCATTAGTAGATAGTGACATTCGGTTGAACTTTTTTGAAGATATTTTTAGAAATGTGGAAGATACTTGGATAAATAGTGAGACATCTTTAACATTACAGAGCAAATCCAGCTGAATGAGACTGAGTACTGCTAGTTATAAGGAAGGCCCTGAGGAAGAGGAAATTGAAACCCGTCAGCCACAAGAGGGTCCTCACGCGATTGAGAGCTGATCCTGTGTATTGGTGCTTTGTATCTGATGTGCCTTTGTTACCACAGTGCAGGGGCGGACTGACCATTTGGAAACTTGGGCACTGCCCGAGGGCCCGGGGTCAGTAAGGGGCCCCATGAGATGCCCCTGGTACCTTTTTCATAGGCTTTTTTGAGTGGGCAAGGACACAGGGGCCCCGTGATCCCCTGTTGCCCGGGGGCCCCATGATTTGCCGGTCTGCCCCTGCCACAGTGTTTGTGAGTATATTTTATCTTTGGATTTATTAAAGCTATCATCCTAGGTAATGCACTAGGCTAGTGCACCCCTTTTTTTCCCTTTTCTTTACAGCTATTGTCTGCAGGTTCCTTCCTCAACCCCTAGAAGGCAGCAAGGCCTGTGCCGGTACTGGACACATGAAGGACCTCATACAGTTCCATCCTAGTATACCACTCTTGAGCACGGGACTGTTTATTTCTTCTTTACACATAACAAACTGACTGTACAATCTTGGTACAATCAACTTATGATAAACCTATGTAATGTGATGACCTACCTAATCTATCCATTCAATTTGTATGCAATCAGACAAGCCCTTGCATTACATAGTTGTTGGTAGATCTAAGGAAAATTATACAACCCAATTGTAATGTGTGTGGTAAGCCTAAGAAAAACTATGTAAAGCTACAATAATATCCTTGAGAAGTTAAGCCCCTAAACCTGGCAAGTGCTGCCTTTGGTAAAGTCCAATGACTATTGTATCTCACTACTTGTCCTTCAACATGATGACCAGTTTCTGTAATGTATAGTTAGGCATGTGAGATAGAACGGAGTGGAAAAGATTTTAACTTTAATTCCTATAGCTGCCTTATGCATATTACAGTGTGTGAGTTGGGGATGTTTGAAATGACATTAAAAGGCACATGTGAATATCTGATACCAGTAACTGGTTCTATAAATGTTGCAGCTTTTTTTCTGAGAATAATTTTTACTTTAGTGATTGTTTTACTTTACATTCCAATTAGGGTTGAAAATTGGGAAACCTGACAAAAATATGTTTTACTGATAACCAAATTAAAGCAAATTTAAAACTGTTGTGAAATATTAATTGATTAAACTGGTAGTAAACTCTTTTTTTAATTTTACCTACAGGTAAGCTTATAATAAAGATTACCTGTGGGTAAAATGATTATCTCCTAAGCGTGCACTGTTTTGGAGATATTCTCTCTTTTTTTTAAGCCAGCTCATGTGCTCTGAAGGAACAACATATTCCTTCAGAGATGTGTGCCATGGCCCGGGACCCCCTTGTGCATGCAGTGGTGACTGCACGCCACAGGAGGGGTTTGTTTTAAGGTAAGTTTTACATAATGTGCTAGTATGTGATGCATACTAGCACATTATGTCTTTATCTTGCAGGGGACTTTTTTTCCCTTTACTGTGGTTTACTACCGCTTCAACACCTAAATGTCAACTTATAATTTGGGCAGACAGCACCAAAGCAATATAGCTTTAATGTGCATGTACACAGCCTGTTGAATTCCAAGCAAACCACCAAAAGCGATAACTGCCTCTCAAGCTAATTGCAATAAAATAGCAAACATCTATAAAGATTTATAGATGTTTTTCCATTATGTTGCATTTAGTTTGAGAAAAGGAAAGGTTGCCTGAAACTGTGCTACATGCTGTCATATTTGTATGAGCAATGACAAACTCTCTATGCTGCAAAACTCTGATACATACAGTATATATATATATATATATATATATATATATATATATATATATACACACAATTTATGTTTGCGCTATTGTTAAAGCAAAAAAGGAAAACCACAGTTTCACACTTTTGTCTTCTGATGTGCTCCAAATTCTTCAAAGTGAATTCCTCGAGAAGTTGTAATTTTCATAACAGCTCCATTAGCTCCATCATCTTCTATGAGACTCACCATTCCTTTGGCAATGAGAGATGGGCTGTTACAACAGAAACAAAGATGTATCTTAGTATACTCAGACAAATCAATAATGTAATTACAGTTGAAGAGATACCAGAATGTTCATTTTCCAACCATAGATACATCTCCCTATCATGTGTCCAAAAAACAAGTTTAGATCTCCCCCTCTGTTGTCAAAGCCTCCCAAACTTCCAGTGAGAGAACGCTTTCCTAAACGTGTTGTGACGGACTGGTTTAGTTGACATATATTTGTAATAGGTGACTGACAGCTGATTGTGAAGCAGCATAGAAATGGAGTTGTATTCTTTCAATACCAAGATAGAATCAACTGGTACTATATTTGTAATAGGTGGGCCAGGAAGCACTGATTGGTGAGCAGTCTAGAAATGGGTTGTATTCTTTCAATACCAAAATAAGTTCACTTGGTGCCAGAAAAAGCAATGAACGCTTATTAATGCATTGACAACCAGATATGGAAGAACAAATGCCCTTCTGGCTTTAGTGCCGCCAGGAGAAGTTAGCCTTCATCAACCCTTAACATAGGTCCTCTAGTGCATTCTATCATGATTTTATTAATATTGACTGCTCAACCCCTGAAAAGGGGTGACTTTTGCACCAAAATGAGTTGGTTGAATTTGATGCTCTTAACCATTAAATGTTTTTAGAAAGGTTTTCAAGTTGGTACCAGGTGCTCCTCAGTGAAACCTAGTACACATTTGTCTTGTGAGCAATTCCTTTATCACTATTAGAGAGGTAGAAGCCTAAAACCAGAACAGGAGGGTTCACCTATAATATATTTAAACCACAGATCTGCTTCTTTGAAGGAGAAAAAAATCCCTTTTTACGGTAGATCCAATGGAACCAACTTTCTCTTCTATCAGCCTAAAGCTATCCCACACACACACAGGTACATCAGGCATAAATGGAGCTTTGCAGTGCACAGACAATCAAGCAACTAAATGATTGTGTTCACTCACACATAGTTCATTATCATGATGTTTATAATATAAAGATAATTTAGTTGACTTGCTGGCCTAAACAGTAGTGAACAGTCAGAAAAATGTAATCCTGTAGGCTGACTTTTCTCACAAGAAAGATAATTTTTTGTCTGCCTGCTAGACCTTATAAACAAAATAGCACTAGCCTGGTTGAGGAGCAATATAATCTTATGTCTGTAAGTACTTTAACACAGAGACATAACATACATCGTCATTATAGGTAAATAATAATTTGATACAAATAACAGTTGTCATTATGCATACAATTCAAACCACACATCGGTAAAAAATGTAAAAGGATCATCTAGAATGATCCCAATTCCCAATCCTGCATGTCACCCTATAAAGTGTATGTGAGATGGTTGCAAAAAATACTTTTGGAAACAGAAAACAGCTACACTGTAGCATTTTAATGCAGTTGTAAAACTAAACTAGCCATGCAGGTGGTAAAATTTAACTGACCTGCCAGTTTACAGCAACACACAAATCAAATCTAAAGGAGGCCCAAGGGAGGAAACAAGTGTTTTTATGTGCCAAGTAATGTAAAACAATATTCGCTATTTCAGTAGAGAGCTTGCCAAGTGAAGTATAAACAAAGATTAATATAACATGGACTAAGCAAAGCAAGTGGATTCTATAAATAACCAGAAATTGTGAATGGTCATTATATTCTATGCATAGACATTTGAGAAATGCACATTTTCTTTAACAGCCATACTCAAGTACACACATATGTTCCCATGCATATATGTAATGTACCTTTTTTAATATATAGGGGTAGTTAAACTTTCCCACACATGAATTATCTTTTAACCACTTCAAGTCTGGACACTTTCACTCCCTTCCTGCCCAGGCTAACTTTCAGCTTTCAGTGCTATCACACTTGGATGACAATTGCACGGTCATGCAACACTGTACCCATATGAATTTTTTAGCATTTTTTTGAGCACAGATATAACTTTATTTTGGTGGTATTTATTCACCACTGGGATTTTTTATTTTTTTGCTATATAAATGAAAAAGTCCCAAAATTTTGAAAAAAAAGTGTTTTTTCTTATAAAATTTTGCAAATAAATAATCTTTCATCATAAATCTTGGCCAAAATGTATTAATCTATATTTTAGTAAAAAAAAAATAACCCAAATTAGTTTATAACCAAAAATTATAATTTTTCTAAATTTTGTAAATTTTTATTGTATTTTTTATATCATTATTTATGTTTTTTTAACATACTGTCACCCTAGCAGTATAGTATCACCATAGTGACACTGTACTACTTGTGGGGGGTGATGAAGATTTATTTTCTTTTTTTACACTGATTGCTTTTACACCCATAAATGCTGTTAGAGCAATCATTTTGTATTTTTCTGTGGCTGCATTTTTGCAGCCAATGAGAAATACTGTGAGAGCTGTGATTGGTCACAGCTTGTCACATGGTACAATGCTGTTGTGAATAGCCTTGTACCATGTGACCTCTGTGATCATTCACAGATTTCACAAGTAGTAAGCAATGATGTCAGGAAGTGACATCTTGTTTACTACTGCCCATGTGATCACTGATTGGCCAATCAGTGATCACATTATTTTTTTTATTATTATTATTATTATAATACAGGATTTATATAGCGCCAACAGTTTGCACAGCGCTTTACAAAATTAAGGTAGACATTACAGTTACAATACAATTTGGTTCAAGAGGAAACAGAGAGCATGAATTGGGACCTCACACAGAGGTGCCGTACGTGGACACAATGGGCACTGGATCGCAGTGCTATGTGCACAGGCAGTGAATGTGGGTGACATTTAGAAACATCAACTCGCTTCGGCAGCGCACCTGTCCAGCCGTTTATAGACATGGACTGGAGGGGAAGTGGTTAAAGTGTATCTCCTTGCAAATTTAAAAATTAATATGTGCAGAGTGCATTACATGTATTTTTTTAATCAATCCACTCATTTAGTTTTCTATTATCTATTATTTGCAGCAGAAGGCCATCAACACTAGCTTTCCACTGCTGAAGTCAGCAGATTTGTCTTCCCCTCTGCATAGAATCTCCTAGGTGGTAGTACCTAATGATGTAGCATGTCTCTTGTATAGGCACTTTCAGCCTGGAACTGGTGCTGATTGTGGGAGGAATGTGTATCATATTATAATATCAACATCCCTTTCCCCCCAGTTACCACCCACCAACCAGGGAGGTGGATATATGAAGGGTGGCTTTTATGTTCATGTGACTGAATATAAAATCCCAAAAAAAATATTTTTTTTTCCTGATCCATATTACTTTTATTTTGTTTGGACAAACACACTGTAGAGAAACATCTTGATACAAAACCAACCGCTTCCAAAAAATTAGACAAACAAAAATACCAAACCATATACAATATTACTAATTTAAAACATTACATATGCTAATTTATTCCATCCCCCCAAAAAATTGTTACTCCCAACATTTCTGAGATTGTAACAACCTATTCTCACAATTTGGTACCAACCTGAAACCATTTTGCTGACATATTCATAATGTATTCAAAGCTCCCATTTTCTGAAATTTTCTAGTTTCATTTCAAACTGACTGCTGCTACATTCCTCCACTGTCGATGGAAGTGCCAAAATCCACCTTTGCGCAATCAGTTTTCTAGCCAAAACAATGTTCTACTTAGCCCCAGTATCAGATTAGATTGATGTTCTGGAAGTACTAGATAATCCAACATACACACTTATGCTTTACATCCATGCTTGCTTTAAAAATAGTATTATTAGTTTGAACAATATCAATCAAATATCTTCGGGCTTAGGACATCTCCAAATAAGATGAGTAAAATCTCCCAGGGCCTGGCTACATCTCGTACAATTAGTACTATTTAGAAAGGGAATGGAGAGTTTTACAGTACATGTTCTATGAACATATCTGAGCATATACTGTAAGTATATATAAATATAAGAGGCTGATATCAAGATTGAGGGAATTACCTTTCCTTCCCTTTAAAGGCACACAATTATTGCTCTTTGCATTTCAAGGGAGATTTCAGCAGAATTGAGGGAATTGTTTTTATATGCAGAAGAAACAACAATCTCTGTGCTATCAAAAACATCAAATTTTCTGCTGTATAATTATAATCTTGTAATATATCATAAGTGTTATCTTCTCCTTGGGCCTATTGCTACAAAACCAGCATTTAATCAGCCCTTGCAGCTAATGGGTGCAAGCGCTGATCAGTTTATTCTGGCGGGGGGAGAGATCTTTGCATCAACATTGCTTGTGTTGATGCAGAGATTTTTTTTTCATCCAACCGACTAGCGTGTGCATGCTGGTACCCAGCTTAATGCATCTAACAAATCTAACTCACATTTACACTTATTAACTTATATAAAGGGTGAATCCCCCTAACCCAGTCCGTAAAATGTTATACCTGTGTGGTTACAAAATACTGTATATGACCATTGAGTAGCAATACCTTCTTTATTAGTTGGATACTGTAATGTTTCTTACTATGCTTTTTTTCATTTATATGAGATCTTTAACCTCCTCGGCGGTATGATTCTTTCCGATTTTTTGTGCTGAAAGCGGTACCATTTTTTTGCATGGAAATATGTCGTTTTTTATTGTAGGCTGTAATTTTTAGGAATAACACACTGAAATCTGTACGAACAAGAGTCTAGTAAACATTCCGGATATGATAAAAGTTGAAACACGAAATCATAAATTATAATTTAATAAATAATCATAAAAAATAATAATATAATAATAAATTTAATTTAATAATATAATCAAACCAAAAACACTGAAATTTGAAATACAGAGGCAATTTTGCACATCGCTGAGCAAAGTCGCAAAATAGCCTTTGGTTAAATCTAAGGTGGTTATGTACCGAGCCGTTCCCAACCTGTCAATGAGCTCATCCACCCGAGGCATTGGGTACGCATCAAATTTAGGCACACTGTTCAGTTTCGTGAAATCATTACAGAAACGAATTGTTCCATCTGGTTTTGGGACCAACACTATGGGACTCGACCACTCAC